CGGTCAATGTTGACCGCATCCACCACCGTCACCACGCCGTCCAGCCGTACGCGGGACTCCAGCTCAGCGTCCGTCCACAGCGCCGTGGCGATGGGTCCGGGATTTGCAAGACCCGAAGTCTCAATCAGGATGTAGTCGAAGCGGCGGCGGCGGCGCGAGGAAGCATCTGGCAGGCGGGAGGAGGAGGAGGAGGCCGACGCGGACGAAGGTCTGGCGCCGCCGCCGTCTCCATGGGCCAGCTGTGCTGGCAGCGGTGGAGGTGGTGGAGGTGGTGGTGGTGGCCTGTCCAACAGGCTTTCTAAGGCTTGCAGGAAGTCAGATTTAACTGCGCAGCACATGCAGCCGTTTGTCAGTTCCACCCACTCCCCGTCTTGGCGCTGAAGACCCTGCGGGAGTGTGTATGTATGTATGTAATGCGATGGGGCGGGGGGGTATTATATATCTTCACATGCAATGAACAGATGAGATTTCCATGTAGGACAAGAGTAAACCACAGAGCCAACTGCTCTACTTTGGGAAACTGATGACCTGGGGCGATGTCAGCACATGGGGGCCTGCTGGAATGTGTCTGCACCAGGGTGCCATCTCTGTCTGTTTGTGTGTCTGTCTGTTTGTGTGTCTGTTTGTGTATCTGTCTGTGTGTGGGGAGGCTCCAGGGGATCCTAGGAGGGGGCGTTTTCATCCTGGGACCGGTCCTCACTGCCGTACACTCCCTCGGCGGACGGAACTCTCCAAGACTCCAGGGACGGCTCACTCACCTCCTGGGATTGCACGAAGCTGCTTTCAATGCCCACATCCTCTCCAAATTCGTTCAGGATGACGGCAATCCGGTAGCCGTGGTTGGCTGTGAGGATGTTGCGCACCAACGTTGTCTTGCCAGCGCCCAGGAAGCCTGACGGGTTGGGCAAATTGGGGGGTTCGGTTTAAAATGGAAAAAGACATAGAGCACTGAGGGAAAGGTAGGTCGGGCGGGAGAGGGCAATAAAGGGCGGGATAAAAAAAGGAGGGGACTGGGTCGTGTGGACAGGAGTTTTGGGGTCGGCACAGCAGCGCGCTTTAGGTAGATGGATGGAGATGAATTCGTTGATGATGAATGGCAAGGGATGTAGTTTGAAGTGTAAATTGTCTCTTTGCCTGTCCGGAAGGAGTTACGACTGTGATGGAAACGGTAAGAAAGGGCGGTCTTCGCGACCGGTCCGGAACCGTTCCCCAACCGTGGAGCGAAGCGCACGTATGCGTCAAAATTTTTTTAAGCGTGGCTATCGAAATGATTATACGTATATCGAGCCTTTTGTGTTCGCTTACGCCACGCGCACGCTTCTTTACCGGTCACAATTGTAACAGGGACTGTGGTACGCTCCGGCTCCTCGTCGTCCCCATTCCGCGCAGGTTCTGCAAAATAGCTGGGCTTACAATGGGAAAAAACCTTCATCTCAGAAGAAGTGCGTACCGGACACGTCGTCGAGAGCAAGAGCCAATGGGACCTCTTCGTCATCCATTTCGAAGACTTCTGACCTACGCAAAATTTACCCTAAATACAGGCTAAACAAAGCAGCGGATTTTGCAGCAAGCTGTTGACGGCATGTGACGGTAAGGCAACCTAACTGCCCCCAGGTGCCATCGCGAAAGGTTTCCTTGTGCCTCTAAACATCATAACGACATGCTAAGAATGTTCTGGGAAATAGCCCAGGACCCGGGTCTATTCGCAAGTTGTGACACGTATCGGCATGTTCCTTACGGCACTCGTACACAGTCTAAGAGAAGCACCTCGGCTCTGCACTTCATACCCTGGGACTTTACCAAAGTTCCAAAATCTATCGATAATTGCTTCACCAAACGTTCTGGTCTTGGGCTTCCTCTGCTTGCCTCGGGGGTTGCTACCGTGCAAGCTAGAGGCGGGATCCCGTGCCTGAGGTGCGCCAGCTAGGTAGTTTGTTGCCATCACGCGATATCACACACAGTTCCATCATGCACTCGGATGCGGTATAAACCGTTTTCCTGCAACACCTAAGAGGAGGCTGCGACTTGCAAGTACTGCCATGCATCACCCGCCAGCAGTAAACAAGCAAATGCCCATCGTCCTTGGCTCCCCTTTTCCCCGCCTCCCTCCCTCCTATGGTCATCTATACGCGCGGCAGCTTTGAGTTTCGGTCGGAGGGATGCGATGCCGCCTCGCGCCTCCGCGGCAACCTCACACACTCCCGGCATGCCACTCTGCTGCAAGATTACGACGTGGCGGCAGAGAGGATAATAAACAACAGTTAGCGGCGGCAGCAGTACAGCAGTAGCAGCAGTATCAGAAGCAGAAGCAGTATCAGCAGTAGCAACAGCAGCAACAGTACCAGGAGAAGCAGCAGTAGCAACAGCAGCAACAGCAGCAACAGCAGCGGTAGCAGTAGCAGCAGTAGCAGTAGTAGTAGCAGCAGCAGTAGCAGCAGTAGCAGCAGTAGCAGTAGCAACAGCAGTAGCAACAGCAGTAGCAACAGCAGAAGCAGCAGCAGTAGTAGCAGCAGCAGTAGTAGCAGCAGCAGTAGTAGCAGCAGCAGCAGCAGCAGAAGCAGCAGTCACAGAAGCAGAAGCAGCAGTAGCAACAGCAGCAGTAGCAACAGCAGTAGCAGCAGCATTAGTAGAAGCAGTAGCAGCAGTACAACAGTAGTAGCAGCAGTAGCAGTAGCAGTAGCAACAGAGCTTCCTGTAGGTAGTGGTAGTGGTGGAAGACCAGCAGCAAGGGCAGCTGTCCGCCATGCTCGGAGAAGAATCCTGGTGAAACTCTAAATAGCAAGAAGCAGCAGCAGCTTACAAAGATGCTGATTCTGTCGTTAGGAGTTGGTGTGCCTGCAGCTGACAAAGGCTCAGGACGCGGCATGTGCGTGGGGCTACACACGCATGTGGGGCCTCGCGTCCCGGTGCCAAGTAGGCGATAAGGCGTCCTTGGCCTTGTGGCCGTGGGGGCACATGGAATGAAAAATGAAGTTTGTCACCCAGGTGTTGTTTGATGATGTGGGATTTGCATGCAACGTCGTGTCCTGTAGATGTGTCAACGAATGGCTTACAACGGTTTCGAGGGGGTAGGGCCTTCGTACCCTGATCATTCGATTTATCGCAATTAGCGGCATCATGACATAGATTAAAAATCCCTACACAACTCGCGATGTGGGTAGGATGTACTTCGGTGGTACACCGTAATCTACCCCACAAACAACACGCCGTATGGGTAGGATGTACTTCGGTCGTACACCGTAATCTACCCCACAAACAACACGCCGTATGGGTAGGATGTACTTCGGTCGTACACCGTAATCTATCCCACAAACAACACGCCGTATGGGTAGGATGTACTTCGGTCGTACACCGTAATCTACCCCACAAACAACACGCCGTATGGGTAGGATGTACTTCGGTCGTACACCGTAATCTACCCCACAAACAACCCGCCATATGGGTATGATGCACTTCGGTCGTACACCGTAATCTACCCCACAAACAACCCGCCATATGGGTAGGATGTACTTCGGTCGTACACCGTAATCTATCCCACAAACAACACGCCGTATGGCTAGGATGCACTTCGGTCGTACACCGTAATCTACCCCACAAACAACCCGCCATATGGGTATGATGCACTTCGGTCGTACACCGTAATCTACCCCACAAACAACCCGCCATATGGGTAGGATGTACTTCGGTCGTACACCGTAATCTATCCCACAAACAACACGCCGTATGGCTAGGATGCACTTCGGTCGTACACCGTAATCTACCCCACAAACAACCCGCCATATGGGTATGATGCACTTCGGTCGTACACCGTAATCTACCCCACAAACAACCCGCCATATGGGTAGGATGTACTTCGGTCGTACACCGTAATCTATCCCACAAACAACCCGCCGTATACTTCCTCGAATTTTCGGTCGTCATTGCTTACGCAAGGACTTTCCGTTGCATGGTTATGTACGGAAGCATCAACGGTAATTTTTTAAGCTATCGAGAAATGTACAGTTCGCGATGACATTCATTACCTTCGTCAAAACCCACATAAGTGCCACAAGCCCATTTAATGAATGTCATAAACCACATACATACATACATACAGATACATCCAGCCACATTCTATCGGACATCTAGCTTCCACTCCAACATCTAGCTTCCACTGTCACCATGATCCGCATCACCCTAAAACCCTAAAACCCTAAGTTAACATCTCCTGTTTTAGACACACCGCCACATGCCTTCCTAATATGCAAGCACGTCAACCCGCTATAACTCAACACTGCACCGTCATCTGCATCGTCAGCTAAGCACCTACCTAGCAGCAAGGCCCCAAGCATGCGACGTCCAAGCAGATCACTTTTTTATTTATTTCACCTAAAGGACGGTATTAACAGCGAAAGCTTTTCTATCTGCTGCTGCTCTGCTCCTACAATGCCTGCTGTGTCAAATCTCACCGCCCACCTCACTACCACACGTACCACACGTACCGCACGTACCGCACGAATCAGCTTCCAGAAGCATATCTCGTTCATCCCACATACATACCGTCCAGCAACACGCGCTCACTATATCCGCCTCCGTGCTCAAGTAGAGGCAGGCACCAGCAGAGCTCCTCCAACATCGAGGAGACTTCAGACGGCACGAGACGGCAGCAGCTCCGTTGAGAAGGCCGGAGCGGCATTAAATTATATACTTTATATAATTCTGAACATAAATAATTGTTACGGACACAGCAATATCTTACAGCGCCTTTCAGCGCTTCTCTTGAAACTCAAGACGTTAAGGGGGACCATGTAAATGTACACTGGGTTTCGTTGAAGGGAAACCGCCAACAATTACCGATCACCCTAACTCACAAACTCTCACGAGGCACACAGACAGACACGGGCAGCTGCCGACTGAGCATGCATGTTCCTTCGCTCAAACACACACACACACACATGCCGGAGTATGTCTATTCCTTCCATTGCTGGCGCTTGTTCCGCACTTGCAATACTTTACCACGGAGCAACACGCGAATTGTCGCGCCTCATTCGTCGTACAAATACGACGGAAGCTACGGCAACGATTACCCCCACGCCGAGCACGCTCGTCACACCGATGATCACCGCGGTCGGGACCCCCGCATGCGCAGAGCCCAGCGGGGCCGATGATGCACCAGTGCTGGGCGCAGAACGGTCCGCTGACGACGAGCTGCCAATGCCCGTGGTGGTTACTGTTGCTGTGGCTGTTGCGGGCTGACCCAACTCATGGGGCACGGAAGCCCCTGCAGAGGCGGCCAGTCCGTTGCTGTCTCGTGAGGTTGGGCGGGGGGGTGGAGAAGGCAAGGACAGCCGCAGCAGGAGTGGGCGAGGGAGGGAAGGAAGTGATGGGGGGGGAGGAGGCGGCGAGAAAGGAGGGGGCGAAGGTGAAGAAGACGCTGAAGGACGTTCCGCATCGAGTAGGAGTGGAGGTGGAGGAGGAGGAGGAAGAGGAGGAGGAGGTGGTGGTGGTGG